GTGAGGGATTTCTTTGCTACACTGTCTGTGTATCTTTCATTTCAAAACAAAATTGTACAAAATTGAGTTGCATCATATTTTTTGCTTAAATTAAATTCTACTTGGCAATTCTGAATTTGCTGCACCGCTGAAACTGACTTTTGGCTCAATTTTCCGCATTTTTTTTTTCTTCTTTTTTGGTGAATAGATTATATATCTAATAATCTGAAGATGTGTGTTTTTCTTTCATTCATTATGTTATCTAAGGTCCAGCCCACATAGTGCAGAAAAGTAGGACCTAAAACTCCATTCGTTTCATTTTATAAATTACTGGCTGGCAATTTCATAAAAGCCATCACTAATCCCCTCTCTTCCCCTACCCCTGTATCACAACTTTGTCTAGAGCACATTAAAAATTATTAGAATCAGCAAAAAAACAAAGAATTAAACGTATGTGGTGAGCTATAAGAAGAAATGGGAACTGCAAACTGACAAGCTGATAACTCAAATACAAACTCATACACAAAGATTGAAGACCCCAAACCCATCTGCTCCACAAAAAACACTTAAAAATGTTGAATTTGTTATAAAATTATTTTTTGGGTGAACATATACCTAAAAATTAGTATCATAAAGCCATGATGAATTACTTAAACATAAGAATTGCTATTATCTCTAAAACCAGTTTTTCAGCCTAACTTGGGAAAAGTTATCATAGACAGCAAACTGAAATTAGGAATATACTTCCTGTATTAGAATCTTCATACAAATAAGCAGTTTTGAAAATATGATGTAATTTGTTGCTGGAATTTGGTTGCTATGGTAACGCCATAACATAATCTTTTTTTCATCCTCTCAACTGAGCCATATCTTTGAGTGTATTTAACCATTTTCTTTTAAACTCCTTATTTGCATGAAGAATCATTCAGAAAATTTCAAGTCAATAGTGTGATTCCTTTTTGAGAAATATGTTCTTAAGATAAAGCATAAATTTCCTGCCATTTTTTGGTTGCCATGGTAACCATGATATCTATAGCCTGAACACCCCATTTTTTTTAATCAGATCATATGTAGGTATAATACTAGTGAAAATACCAAAGATTAGTAATTAAATTTAAAAAAAAATAGTTTTAGAAGCTTACTATCCCGTTCACTCCTGTGATGTGAAATAGTGAAAATGCAGTCCATTACTTTTAAATCCATTAATATAAAACTTGATATATAGGTAAGCTTATATTACCAAAATAAAGATCAAGTGACACAGTAAAAAATAAAAAAATATTTAGTAATGCTGGAAAGCTATAGTGATATTATTAGTGGTTGATACATTGATGAGCATATTTTGTGGTCTTTGTAGGAAGTATAGCACTTACATCACTGACCTATGATGCATTGACTTTCAGCAAATGGTAGCACTCACTTTTCTTGCTGATAAAGAAATTCTACTGATGATCGAAAAAACACATACTTTTACTTATTATGTGCAGCAATATTTCGCATTTTCCATCATATTTGGTACACTACAGCTTGTCCTTTCTTAGTTAGATCACCAAGATCAAAGCTACAGCCACAGAGATATTAATCAACCACAGAGATATTTATCAACTAGACTCAAAACAACCTTTAAAAGTTTTACGGTTGTCATCATGGTCATCGCGGATATTATTCTATACTGACCAAATTCAAAAAAATGTCTTTCAAATATTTAATATTTTCATGACAATAGTATGTCACTTTATGTTCATATAAATTTGCATAGCACAAAGTTTTGTTCTTAACCATCCAATTTAATGTAATATTGAACAGCAATTTCTAAAATTTATTTTGGATTTTCATTTTGAGTTTGGATTGTTAGTACTTGGATTTTTTATTTTGCTAAACATCACTTTCTATGAATCAATTGAAATCATAAGAGTGTCTATAAGCTAAAAATGTGTTTTCAAGAACAAAAGCAATAACTTTCTATCAAATATTTTCAGATTTTTCTGATGTTCAAAAGAGTTCATCCTTGGGTAATAATAAACACCTACACCAAAGTTTCGTCAAAATCGATTCTACAGTCTTGTGTTGCCGCCTTTACTCATTTTTAGTCTTCCACTATTGCCACGATCAGTATCTTCCTGCAGAAACCCAGGGCACCCTACTCTTCCTTTTGCCTTTCTACATTATCGGTACCAGAAAAGAGTGCACAACATAGATGAGTCCTGAACTGTTCTTTTTTACTACCACAGCTGCGACCCCCAAAAGCCAGACTCCCTTTCGAGCCTTACCCAAATTATCAGGGTTCCATAAGTGTTCCATGTTGAATTGAAGTCAAATGTCATTCTATCTAATTTAAGGATTAGAAAATAGTTTAATATTCAGTGGGTTCAAAAGTAGCCGGCAGCCGACGAAAACCGCCATTTAAAATCCTCATTTTGTCTCGTTTCCACCTACTTTTCGTTGAAAGCACGTAATAAAAATAATTTTACTTTCGCTTTTATAAATCGAAATTTTACGGTATCCTTATTTTTACTGTAAACGAAATCAATAAACAACACAGACGCAGTTGCAGAGGTCTTTCTACTGTTACTAGATAATCCTGCTTGACTGGATGTCCGAATCTAATGTGATCTCTATCTTCGTTCATAAAATCCTTTTAAAATTTTATGACAGCCCGTAAACTTTCCGTTCTTCCATTGTTTTTCTGACCAACTTATACAGGGGACAAAATAACCGACATGGCATTGCTAATTGAGATACAATTTTAAGCAAAATAGAATGTAATTTTCGTCAGTAAAGCATTTTTTTTTTCATTTGGACGATTTAAGATTGGTTTCATAACCTTCGAATAAAAAACGACACTAATGTTCACGCTTTTGGAAACCGGGTTATGGCTTACACTAGCTAGCACCCTAATCACTAGCTTGGTAGATCTGGACCCTACCGATCGACAATCAAGTAGAATTGGAAAGCTTCGTCATTTTCAGAAAGATATAAAACACTTTTAATTTAGAGGGGTTCTTAAAAAAAAATAATGACAGGCTTATAAATATTCGTAACTGTATAAATCGCAACCCTGAGCTTCCTATATTTATCGGTTAGTTTTGTCTCTATCAATCGAGATTCATATGCGTACGACCTTGAAAATTTAGACTCAATGTCACGAAAAGATACAAATAGCAGTAACAAATATTATTTCTATCTTTGGCTTTGAATTGATTGAAAGATAGCTTGCATTGCAAGGTAACATACGCCCACTGGCAGCTGTCAGAAATAATAAAACAGTCTTTAGTGACTAAAGTACGAATTTTCTCATATTGAAGAAATTATTTATGCTGAATAATTCCACAAAATTTTTTAAAATCAATATCAATAACCCAAATACGACAAACAATTAAATCACACAGCTCTAATCAAGGGCAAAAAACAACTTTTGACGCGTGTTTACAAAGTCAAGGGCAATAACTCAAAAACTGTTCATCGAAAATGCGTCAAGTTAGAACTTGTCCGTGATCTTATCAATTCCAATGATCACACCAAGTTTCATCAGAATCGGTTGAAAACTGTAGCTTCAATCCTGCTCACAAACTATTTTTAACAAATTTTGACGTGTTTTTATAAAGTCAAGGGTAATAACTCAAAAACTGTTCATCGAAAATGCGTCAAGTTAGAACTTGTCTGTGATCTTATCAATTCCAATGATCACACCAAGTTTCATCAGAATCGGTTGAAAACTGTAGCTTCAATCCTGCTGACGAACTATTTTTAACAAATTTCAACACGTTTTAACAAAGTCAAGGGCAATAACTCAAAAACTGTTCATCGAAAATGCGTCAAGTTAGAACTTGTCCGTGATCTTATCAATTCCAATGATCACACCAAGTTTCATCAGAATCGGTTGAAAACTGTAGCTTCAATCCTGCTCACAAACTATTTTTAACAAATTTTGACGTGTTTTTATAAAGTCAAGGGCAATAACTCAAAAACTGTTCATCGAAAATGCGTCTAGTTAGAACTTGTCCGAGATCTTATCAATTCCAATGATTACACCAAGTTTCATCAGAATCGGTTGAAAACTGTAGCTTCAATCCTGCTCACGAACTATTTTTAACAAATTTCAAGGTGTTCTAAGTCAAGGGCAATATCTCAAAAACCGTTCATCGAAAATATGTCAAATTCAAAATTAATCGAGATCTTATCAATCTAAAGCATCACACCAGGTTTTATCAAAATCCGATAAAAACTGTAGTCTCTATAGTGCTCACAAGAAATGTTGACCGACGGACAGGGGCGACGACAATATACAACGACATATTCATGTTGGCGTATAAAAATGCGATTGAAATATAACCGTAAGAAAAAAGTCTTTGTTGAAGACAAGTTGGTGGATATGCGGTATTGATACTCAAAATTATGGTGTAACTTGTTTACTTTTTTATGTGACGGATATTCTCCGATTCATTCAAATGTATGAAGGGGTGCGTATTATACAGTAATTAATTCTAATTAATATTTAGAAACACATTTTGTATTAAAATTACAATCAGGTGACAAGGTTTTTACACAATTATGATGCCATTCATAACTTTCAAATTTGCAGAGCTGTTCTATATTCTTGAATGTGCTGTGTATTTTCAATTATTGCATTAAAAACAAACTGCTTCACTAAATTGTTATGGAAATCCATCATAAAGCTTAAAACTTATGTTTGATTAATGAATAAATTTTTAATTAGTATTTATCCTAGTCTGAAGAGGACCTAGATGGTAGTGTCAATTTTGGTTCAATCCTCTCAAGTGCCAAGATTATGCATGTCTGATGTTTCATTTTCCAAATTTTCTTTGGGGAGGTTTAAACTCCCCTTGACTCTTATCTTCCGCCAACGAATCTTGGAATGACCAGCCTCCTACTTTTCTGAAACTGCCCCCTACTTTAAAAACTTTTGAACCCCCTGAATATTATTTTTCGAGTTCTATTAAATATATTTTTATTTTATCAAACCTACTGTCATATAAATGTAGTAGCAGAAGCTGAATTGATTAATTCACATAGATTAAAATAGTTACCTGAAATATTTCTCTAATATCAGTCTTGGCATTCATGTTATGAAGGGCTTGAATAATCTGGTCATGAGATAAACCTGAATCTTCTTGAAAAGCTTGTAATAATGAATCAATCTGAAAAAGGTATCAAAAGTCATTACATTCAGTAAGCTTATGTGTAGAAAAAAGGAAGAAACCATCATCTACAAGTATAACAACCTAGATTCAAAATGATTTTGTCTTCCAGCTGGTCTTTGGCAAATCCTCTTTGATGAAGATCTTTCCTGGTTTACCGGTACTCATTTACAGCAGGGTCAACTGGAACAAATGATTAAGGTCACCAGACAGTCACCCTATTCTGAAGGTTTTTTCATGATAGTGATAGAAATTCTTAAATATATCATATAGTGTTGTCAATGACGATTTACTCTGAAATCGGTTTTTTGATGCAAACTGATGATGACTTATCATAATATTTGACTCACAAAAGAGGTAAATAATGCACCAAAAACAAATGTGACAATAATCATCAAATCCATTGATAAAACAATCTGGCATTTGAAGAGTTAACATCTTCCCAAATAAAAATCACTTGACAGATGATAGTTAATACCTGCCGACACTTAAATAGAACTTTAATGCTACATCATTTTCTATGTTGATAGGTATTGTTTTAATAATGATATTGATCATTTTTACCAGAAGCATCACCTAAGCCAGACACTGTCTTGCTGAAGTAGCAATATTAATGAGGAAACATGTTGCTGACTTATATCGTGGCAGCATATTGTTGTGGCAGCCATTTGTCATGTACTGCTAAAAATAACACTTACCAGACATTTGTATTCTTTATGTATGGCTCTATATTCTTCACTATCTTGTATACTTCCATCAAATACTAAAATGTTAAAAAAATGAGCTTATATATGAAAGAATGAAATCCCTCAAATATCAATTGTTGCCCTATAAGATGTGACCTATTGTTGAATTCTCTCTAGAATCTTTTTTAGTTACTCTTATCATGCCATTTTAGATTGATTTTATAAGATAAGTGCAGTACTATTAAATATGGCTATGTCAGCTATGTTTGTTTTTTGACTAGATATATACATATACATATTTATGAAAGATAGCTTGCTGGGCAAGAAAACATACACTACCAGCTGTCAGAAATGATTACAAAGGCTTAATAATGAATTTTCAAATAATCTTTAAAATATTTATAACTCAAGGCTAAACCTAAAAACATCAAATTATCATAAAATTCAAACATTAAAAAGTTTTTATTAAGTCAAAAGCAATGATTCTGAAACCGTTCATCCAATTACTACTAATTTCGAACTTCGAACTTGACTGAAATCTCATCAATATATATATACATACCAAGTTTCATAAAAATTAGATACAAACTGTAGTCTCTACCATGCCTACAAGCCAAATTTGACATGGTTTTAATATAACTCTGATACCGTTCATCCAATTAACACCAATTTCGTAATGAAAGAACAAGATCTCTTCAATATATACATACATACCAAGTTATCACGTCAAGGGCAATAACTCTGAAATCATTCATCCGATGATTACAAATTTCAAAGTTGATGGAGATCTCAGCTATATACATACATACCCAACAGACAGACTGACTGAAAGACAGGGGTAACGGCTATATACGTCCACATTTCCATGTATTCAATAAGATAGCTTGCCAGGCAATGTAATATACGCCCACTGGCAGCTTTGATTTTGATAAAAATATTTAGCAGTACAGTAACAATCACCAGTATGAAATATTCAACCTTCAGTCATACACTTCTTTTGAACTCTATAGGGCGATACTGAATAATATTAAGTATGAGTTATTGCCCTAGTTCTTGAAAACATTTTCAATTTTTAGCTCATGAAAACTCTAGAAGACAAATATTCAATCTTCAGCGCGGTACTGAATAATAAAACCAAGTTTTGTCAATATCTGGCAAGAATCATGCCTTCTAGAGTTTTTACGAGCTACATATTAAAAGAGTTTTCAAGAACAAGGGCAATAACTCATACTCAATATTTTTCAATTTTTCTGATTTTGAATAGGGTCCATCCTTGGGTGATTGCAAACACTCACACCAAGTTTCGCCAAAATCCGTCAAGAATTATGCCTTCTAAAGTGTTTACAAGCAAAAATTTGAACGTGTTTTCAAGAACAAGGGCTCATACTAAATATTTTTCAATTTTTCTGTTTTTCAATATGGTTTATCCATGGGTGATAACCAACACTCATGCCAAGTTTCATCAAAATCTGTCTAGAATTGTGCCTTCTAGAGTGTTTACAAACTAAAAATTGAACGCGTTTTAAAGAACAAGGGCAATAACTCATACTAAATATTGTTTGATTCTTCTGATTTTCAATAGGGTTCATCCGTGGGTGATTAAAAACACTAACACCAAGTTTTGTAAAAATTCATCAAGAATTGTGCCTTCTAGAGTGTTTACAAGCTAAAATTTAACGCGTTTTCAAGAACAAGGGCAATAACTCATACTAAATATTTTTCAATTTTTCTGATTTTCGATAGGGTTTATCCTTGGGTGATTACAAACACTCACACCAAGTTTTATCAAATCCGTCATGAATTGCACCTTCTAGAGTGTTTACGAGCGTTCCACGAACAAGGGCAATAACTCACAGTAAATATTGTTCGATTCGTCTGATTTTCAATAGAGTTCATCCTTGGGTGATAACAAACAACCATACCAAGTTTCATCAAAATCAGTCAAGAATTGTGCCTTGTAGAGTGTTTACAAGCAATTGTGGACGGACGGACGGACATGGGTGACGTCAATAAACGCCCCCCATTTCATGTGGGCGTATAAAAATAGAAGACACACAAACCATTTACAAAGTTTTTTACTGGTCCATTATTAGTTGATCCAAACAATGCGGATACTCTATAGCGCAACACATGGGTGAACATGTTTCAAGATCACAAATATATTTAGTATGAGTTATTGCTCTTGTTCTGTGTTCAATTCTAGCTTGTTAACACTCTAGAAGGTTCAATTATTGACAAAACTTGGTGTGAGTGTTTGTTATCACCCATAGATAAACCCTATTGAAAATCAGAAAAATAAAAAAATATTTAATTTGAGTTATTGTCCTTGTTCAAGAAAACGTGTTCAATTTTTAACCCATTCTTCAAGGCACAGGTCTTGACAAATTTTAATGAATCTTGCTCTGTGTGGTTGTTATTAACTATTGAAAATCAGAAGAATCCGACGGACGGACAGAGTGTTTACGAGCAATTGATGTTGATAGAAGCACTTACTGTGTAGAGGTTAAAGGGCGATAACTCCTCAAAACTGACGTAAGAGGCCTAAATCTTGAAAAAGCCTTAAATTTAATCAGAAGTAAACTAAACCTTCTCAAACCTTTCGATTTAGGTCCAATAACATCCATTTCAAGTTTCATCAAAATCAGTTGAAAACTAAGAGAATAATAGCATATTCAAGATTTTGGGACAAGGGCAATAACTCTACTTCTAACGATCAAAAATAGCTCAAATTCCAACTTGATCTTCGTTTTATAAATATGTATACACAAACCGAATTTCATTTGATTCCATCAAAAAATCTAGTTTTTAGAGCGTTTACAAGCAAATGTTGACGGACCGGCCGATGAAGTGTTTACGAGCAATTGATGTTGATAGAAGCACTTACTGTATAGATGTTAAAGGGTGATAACTCCTTAAAACTGACGTAAGAGGTCTAAATCTTGAAAAAGCCTTAAATTTAATCAGAAGTAAACTAAACTTTCTCAAACCTTTCGATTTATAAAAATATGAAAAAAGTACCTAACTCTCAATTCAAAGCAAATTTGGCAACTTAAACTGAAAAATAATAATTACAAAATATCCTGGTCCATTGATAGCAGAGCTAAAGCCTACACAAATAAAACCAAACGATGTAGCCTGTGTCTAACGGAAAAGCTTTCCATCATTAATACCCCCATGAACAGTTCTTTAAACAAACAATCTGAACTCCTCTCGAATTGTAGAAATGAGAATAATTTCTACTTGTCCAACTTCAGTATCGACGCAGGCTGAATTATATATGTCAGTTGTCTGAAGATCGCATAGCGTGAATCTCTGAGTACCAACATGTATTTTTAGTTTCTGTTTAATATTTCTAATAATGTAACAAAATCGATCTAGTCAATAAAAATGAACCGCTGTACACAATAAGCCTTACATTACAAAATGTTGAGTTTAAAAGCCTTTTTGAACAGTTCGGTTTTCAAATTTTTCTTAAATACATCAAACGATGAACTTGATGTAATTCAAAGAGAGAGTGAATTCTAGAGTCTCAAAGTTGCACACTGAAAAGAACATTCTCCAAGTTTAACCAGATTTATTGTTGAAAGAGATGGCAAATGAATTACTAGTGCAGAAGTCCAAAAGCCTAATTAGTTGAGTTAATTTCCCTTTCCCGATACTTCAATATTTTCAGTCATGTAAACAAAATGCATCAACTTATCAAGCTGACATATCAAAAAACGATGACAAAATGTGATCAAATAGTTAAAGGCTATCTCGGGTCAGCAGAACTTATATATAGAATCACAGAGCTGCGTGTACGCATTCCTAACTGAAAATAATCCAAACAGATTCCAATGACAATCACATTGCACTCGATATCGACTTGCCGTTGACAGTTTGTTGAAAACGAATGACAAAACTCGGCATTACCATTTACCGTTATTGCAAGAGACAAAAATAGGTCTATCTTACCAGACAAGGCTAATACTCACATTCACAAAAAAAACTTACCAAGACAATAATTCTCTATGAAAGAGTATACTGGTATTTGAAAAAAGGGAGTTCCCAAAAAGCATAATAGTTCGTCAAATATATATTCGGCTCTTTTGGACGCCATATTGAATCCATACACAACACAAAAATTCTCTCGTGAGAAGTTACGAGATTTACTATTCTTTTGGGTGTATTGAGTGGAAAACAGAACATCAGTATCTCCTATGAAGCTTAATTCATTAAGCTTTACCTAGTCGATTTTAGCTCAGATAGTGGTGCAGCTAGTCTTAAGTCAAAATGAAATTGTCACGATGTTAGTTATGAGGAAGGGATGATTGTATGCAGGCATAAAGTTATAAATTATATTATAATAATAACTCTATGGAGGCAGGTTGTTTTCACGGTTCTCGACCAGACCTATTCTCCGTCGACATTGCTGTTATTTCTTCAAAAGCGTGCTGTTTGGTATAGAAATACAGGCTGTTTTCGAAATGTATAATTATGCCAAAGGATAAATGAATTTAAATCTGAATGATAGATCTGAAATAAATACAAATACTGGAAATGAGAGGCAAGGTGTTCAAAGACTGAAATTGACGTCATTCACCCAGAACATACAGTAAAATCGAATACAAACGTTTGGCTCACCCAGAACATACAGTAAAATCGAATACAAACGTTTGGCTCACCCAGAACATACAGTAAAATCGAATACAAACGTTTGGCTCAAAGTCAAGGGTTGCATTAAACTACATGGAATGAAATAATACCCCTTTCGCACTGCAAAAGTAATTCGGTTCTATCCAGTTCTATCCGAATAACTTTCGGTTGCTTTCGCACTGGCAAAAAAACTTATTCGGTTATAACCAGAAGTTATCCAGATAGAAAAATCTACCTCAAGAGGTGGATTTCGTCTGGATACGATCCAGATAAGTGGCAGTGCGAAACCAAACAAGAAGTTATCCGGATAAGTTTATCACGCGGGGTGGCACGTGTATAAACACTTCAAAATGGCTCCTGTTGGCGGGGACGTTATAATGATATTTGACGATCACAAGAAAAGGATTAATAAAGTACACGAATTGTCTAGGATAAGAATGAATATATATCTGAAGAGGAAACATAAAATGCTTTTTTTTTTATTTTCATATTTTTTATTTATAAACAAGGAATTTCAGTCCCGTCACGTGACATGATGTGTTACTAAAAATAAAAAGTTATCTAGATAACTTGACTCGGCAGTACGAAAGCAACCCGAATCGAATCGAACTGAATCGGATATTTCTATTTGGTTGTAACCGAATTCAATAATTCAGTTGTTAAGGGGTATTAGTTTCAAAATGACAGATTTATTTTAGGAAGGAATGAATATGGAATAAACTCTTTCAGGGTAGAACAATTACACAGAGGTTGAGAAATTATTATCACAGGTTACTTCCCTTGACATGTGAAATTTGTTCTTGTGAATATTCTTAGGACAATTTTCTACAGTGTTACTGTTAACACTCAAGTGCAATCATATGTAAAGACAATTGAACAATTTTCTCGTAATAGTTTGTAACGGCGCATAGATAGGCTAATTATTCGGGGTTGTATTGCCATTGGATAAGGGTATAATCTAGAAGTTGTCTACATGGATGTTCATTCCATAAGAATGCATAGAGTTAGTAGGCCTAATGTGGTTATCCAATACTTTTCTTTAATTAGCATAATTTTCTTCGTATCGATACCATGTTTGTTCTTAAATTTGTTTCATAGGAATGGTTTTTAAACGCCCACACGAAATGGGGGGGGGGGGGGGTGTCGTATATTGTTGTCACCGTCCGTCCACAATTGCCCTTAAACACTCTACAATGCACAATTCTTCGGGGGAGTGTTTATCACTCAAGTCAAGGATGAACCCCTATTTAAACCAGAAAGATAAAAAAATAATTAGTATGAGTTATTGCCCTTGTTCTTGAAAACGCGTTCAATTTTAGCTTGTAAACACTCTAAAAGGCACAATTCTTGGTGTATTTTGACGAAACTTGGTGTGAGTGTTTGTAATCACCCAAGGATAAACTCTATCGAAAATGAGAAAAATTGAAAAATATTTAGTATGAGTTATTGCCCTTGTTCCTGAAAACTGTTCCTGATTAAGATGAAACATGGCATGAGTGTTAATAGCCTAATCACCAAGGATAAAGCCTATTGAAAATCAGAATAATCGAATGGTATCAGGATGTGTTCCCGTGGAATTTCATTCGTATCTATCAGCTATTTATTTATATAATTTTATAATATATTATCTTGATTATTACGTAAATAATCAAATAGCTAATTGAGAATTTGTTCAGATTTTACCGGGGTGCAACATAATTCCCTTTATGGTCAGTAAGATAGAATTGTTGTGGCCTTAAGGCCAGCAAGAGTATCTTCCTTTAGAAGTAATGGTAAGTTGTGATAGAATGGTCTTAACCTCTGAAACATCCTAGTGTAAATTCCCCTTATAACCTGTGAAGGACCTCAATCAAATGTAAAAAAATAAATAAGATTCATGGATAAATTTTCGTATATGTGGAAGCGGAATCCGTCAAATGGTCTCCGTCATGCATCCAAAAAAAAATCGCGGGGTATAGCGATTTTTGACGCATCCGGACGCCTTTCCGCGCGGAGATCTCCCAAATGTGACGTATTTTGTGGGGATTCCCTGTCCTTTTTATGTATCAAAGCATCCATCTGTCTAGAAGTCTGTGCGTCAAAAGAAATATAACGCATACGTTTAACGCACACATGGAATCATGTTTGACGCATGATAGATCTGCATGACGCGTATATGGAATCTTAGCTTAATTAATAGGATCTCCCAATGCTATGATGGTGCTAGATGCATGAGTGGTGAACACGGTGACGCTCAGAAACTTATACAGGACAGATTGGGACGACAGCTACCTTATGGACATTGTATAAATCACCACCTTCATTTAGTTGTTGTGGACTTAGTGTCTTGTCTGGTATTCCTGCTCTTTCTCGGTTTTTTGATGAAATCATTTCGCTCTACAAATGGTTTTCCAAATTTAAGGAGGATAAAATGTACGAAGGTACGTCACCAAAACGTGTGATAGCAGCGAGATGGTTGGGTCAAGTATGGTTGTAAAAATGTATGCGGAAATAGTATGGCTGTATCCACCATTTATCCAGGGACAACAAAACCATTTTTTGTAGATCGCCCAACACTCATGCCTCTATCAATACATCTTGGAATGTCCAATCTCTAATTCCCTCAAATGAAAACCTGAAAGTTGCTAAGCAATATTTGCAGGATTATGTGCCGAGATTCAGGACTCGGGCCGGTTTTGCAATGAACAATAGGACACCTTTCCTAATGTATTCGACATGCTAATAGTAATAGGACAATAAAAAGTAGAAGTAATAATCATCTATTAGACCTGTACGATTACAGACCCCTACTCACCGCCCCCCTCTTTTGGTACATTGGGCTGGTAACGGGCCTGAATTGGCAGAGGGCTATTTGAGGAATTGGGTTGCCTACTATGTTTCAAGAGTTTTCAGTGGAGAAGTCCGCTTGGCTTCTGTAGAGCATTTGATACGTATGAATTCGATAAAACTTCAAGGTAAAACTATGCTTTGGATGAAAAGATTATTTGAATAAAAGTTAGTGAGTGTCTTGAAAAAAACTGTTTATGTCCAGTTTATTGGTTTAATGAAAATTGGTATCGGTATCTTTGATGTCTTTTGTCGCTAATATTGGATATTAAGTTTACAGAAGGGTGGGTGGAGAGTATGATTGTATGAGTCCAAATTAAGTAAATATCATTAAGAAATCTAATCCGAAACATCTGCTTCTATGGTTATTTTCGTTTTCCTGAAGTCTGCAGTCGAAATCCTTTATATCAGTTTTTAAGATCACAATTCTGCTGGTGGATCAAAGAGAGAGTCTTTTCGTTAGTTAAGTATTAATAGCAATATGTTTGCGATAATAATTGCGTATAGACGTAGTTTTAGCTAGAAGTGATACCGAATTTCTAAGCAACTATAGCAATCACCGTGCTTGCCTGGCAAGAACATGTATATCCTGATGTTGTATATTCCTTACCCTACTTGAGAACATTTCAATATAATGGGCCCCTGCTAGAGAATGACTGGTTGTCTTGAAAATCTGTAAATAGTCTTCAGAAGAACTAGAAATGTACGAAAATCGCATAATTCCTTCCAAATATCTCAAACTAGGAATTTTACTTACTATTTCTATGTATGTCTTTTTCTGTATATCAAAGAGCATCTTAAAATGACGAGTCGGCATTTTAATATTCAAACGCGGATAATTCTGGACACAAAGATTTGAAGGCTCAAATTTCGACGGTGAACTCTGAACACTATTACTGATTGGCTTAGCTGAAAAATTCCAGTTTCTGAGACTAAAGTATATTAAGTATGATTGGTCAAACTTCTTCTACAAGATACTTCATAGCATCATTGCAACCCACTCTGTGACGCCCCATTGTAGGTAATAACGTTACAAGGCACTTTAATGCATTTTTTGCAACACAATCTGAACGACATTAGCTGAAATTATACGTCTATATTAATATATTCGACCCCACTGACCTCACCACTGACAACAGGGAGACAGCGGGCCTAAACTCTTTGAGGAAAAGTGCACGAATGAATTCTGCCCGAGCTGATCCCGATGGCGATGCCATGGTTCGTGCGTGCGCCTGGCTGTCTTAAGTAGATCTAGTGAAACCGACAATTCAACATTAGCAATTCAATGAAACAATTTTAATTCACTTACCTCTGGGCCCGTATGCATAAGTTAAATGCATAAGTTAAATTCAAATTTAACCCTCGAAAACTGGATTAAATCGGGGGTTCAATTTACTCAGTGTTAAATGGTATGCATAATATAACTCCGGGTTATTTCGAGAGTTAAACATGTCATTGAACCCCCCAGATTTAACCTTGCTCAAAAGGTGGGTTAAATTTAACTCAAAGTTGATTTCAGTCAACGTTTCTTGTGGTAATTTAACATTAACAAGAATATTGTGCAATGGATGTCCTTAAAATTATTGAGACAGAGGAACGAACTGCTGTTTTTCGGAGAGAACGGGTTTCTGCGACAGA